GCCTTGTAATAGCGTAGGATTTACAATTCCCGCACTTTAAATTCCTATACATATATTAACTGTTAGATGTATGCTAACTAGGATTGTATGACAAGATCTGAAACAAACGGTAGAACACCTAAATATACAAAGATAATGTAACTGAAAAACAATACACTCGCACATGCCACTCTTAGGGTACACCTCACTTGGTTGCCTCGAACGTGGTCATTGAGCATAGGATGTTTTAGAGTTCGCCCTCTTGTCCAAAGATCATAAGTTGCCTCGAAACGGTTGCCTCGGATAAAATGATCTAAGACATTAGGGTTACCACTAAGGCGTCCTAACATTGCTTTAGTGACCACACGTCCCTTAATCGAATTGACCTGAAAAGCTCCAACGACGGTGCTACCTACTCCTCAATAGTGGGATAGCACTGTCTAAAGGACATTTGCACAGTTTAATTCCTTTTTGAGTAGGTAGAGGTTCTTAAGTACTTGCTCCTTTAAAAACAAAACAAAACTTTTCACACTTACACTCTCTTCAAAACAAAAACTCTTTTCAAACCCACTAACACAAAGAAAAGCAAACTTTTGAAAACATAATGAGCAAGTACCTAAGAGCCCGTGGATAACCACGGATAGAAAGGGTGTTAATACCTTCCCTTTCTATAATCTACCTCCCGAACCCGAGAAACATCTCGAAAAGGAATTTTTCTGTGCTTTTGTCCTTTCCTTGTTGAATAAAATAAAAGACGGTGGCGACTCTTGCTTACCGCGACATTTTGCAAAAACAAACGCAAACACGAACCAGCATTCCAAAACAGTCAGTTCTCATTCCCACCGATCACACATTGCAAAGCTTATAACCTCATCTTTCCAAAGCATCAAGAATTATACCCTAAGACCCCTTGAGGTGGAAATGCCATGGATTTGAATTTGGTAGTTTGAAACTGAATTTTGCACAAAGTCAGAATTTTGAAATCTTTGTTTTAGCTTCTAATCACAAGATTTCCATGCGTTTTTGTTTCTAAACATGATTAGCAACTTGCCAGAAATGATTAGCATCATGAAACACACGATTTGGCTGAGTTTTGATCAAGTTTGAGTCACTCTTTCTTCATGATGCAAACCCACACGAATTCCCTCCAAAACACATCATTTTCTATTCCTTTTGATCCCATTTGCTTCCCTATAAATAGAGGGTCATCCCCCATTCAATTTCCCAAGCTTAGATAGCCAGAATCACCCTGCCAAACTTGCTTCACAACCCAGAATTCAGCAACTTCGAATTCTATTCTCAAGCCTTTTTCAATCCATTTTCCCCCAACTCACCTTCCTTGATCTTCCCTGAAGCTAACCGTATAATTACATTCAAGAATCGTGCCCTATATTGCTCTATAGAAGTCCTGTTTTAGAGCTCTGCAACTCAACTTCAATAGGTAGATTCCTTCATTAATTCTTCAAAACTTTGATATCACTGTGATGCTCTCATTGCTCTGGTTATAGTCGCAACACTTACACTTTACTGGAAACACGTTTTGACCATGAATTTTCAAATCCCTTTTCAAAACTTTCTTTCCAATTTGCTTGAGCTATAATTTATATAAATTTGGCGCGAGAGTGTGGTTGTCTTCGTCTTGAAGAGACGAAGCGAATGGCATAGGTCTGAGCTTATGATTTTACAGTTTGAGAGACCTGCAATTCGTGATGGCTGGAGGTTGAAGATGACAAACGTGTCATCTTCTAATCAATGAAGGCGCGCCATCTGTATTTTTCAAATTCTGATTTTATTATTGATTCTGTATATTATTCATTAAAGACCATGATATGCACAGCACGCCAGATCCCTTGGATTTGATTACTAACGTGTTTTTACTCTCATCCAATGGTCCACATCTTTTACTTTTATTTTCTTTTTCTGATTTTTAAATTTTAATTGTTTTAAATTTCAAAAAATTATAGAAAATTCATTTTTAATCCAAAAAATCTGAAAAAATTATGAAAAATATTTTTGATTATTCTCTTTCTGATTTTTATTTTTTCACAATATAATTTTGTGTTTTGGTATTTTTTATAAATTTCACACTTATTTGATTTGTTTAAAATGTTTAAAAATACTTTTATACATTTTTAAATTCTGAAAAAATTATGGGATGATCCAATGGTATTGTGACAAATATTGTGACCTTATTTTTATTTTTTTTATGAATTTACTATTTTTTTTACTATTTTTGTTTATTTTACCATTTTATTTTAATTTTTAAAAATAGTTTCTGACTTTTAAAAATTCCCAAAAATGTTGTAAAATTACTCGGCCTCTTTTCTGATTTTTCTATGGTCTTATTTTTCATTTCTTGACTAATTTGAATATAATTGATATTTTCCTCATTATTTTCCATTTTTAAAACATTTTTAAACCTTTTAATGTATATATTAATTATATTATTATTTTGTGATTATTTTCTGGCTGTCTTGGGTTGATTTTTTGATCATGACTTTATTAACATCATTGGATCCATGGTGTTGAGTTTAACTCCACAAAAAATGGATGAATGATTTTAATAATAGTTTGATTAAATATTAATTCAAATGTGGTTTCTCTTTTTACCCTAATTCCTCTTCATTTCATCCCCTTCTCATTGCACTAAGTGTTGTTGGAGTATGATCTCTATATCATGTCTAAAAACAAATGGTGCATAGATTGCTATTGACCGGCCTCAAAATAGGTGCGACTTCTATATAACTCCACTTACGATTACTTAACATAGCGCTAAATTTTGTCCCGATTCGAATAAATGATCATTCGTGGCCCAAACTTATGATTGCAAGCCCAAGTATGTTAATTTGATCTCTTTGATCCAATAACCTTGAGATTCATTGTGTGGAGGCTTTGGTTCTACCAATCCTCTAATGGATCTACAACACTTTTGGTCAATGCGGATCACTTAAACATCGTTGATCATTAAATAGTACTTATGAGAATTCCAAATGGATGATATACTTGACAAAAAGCAAATGCAACTTGTTGTGTGGAGGCTTTGGTTATACCAATCCTCTAATGAGTTCCAAATGCAAGTTTCAAGATGGTCATCCAACTAACCACTAATTATTGACTTGTTTATTTTATGCTTTTATTCTTTTATGCTTTATGTACTATTTATTTTTTAGCATTTTTCATTTCATGCCATTTTCATCTTTGCTAATTTGAGCATTTATCTTCTTGCCATTTTTACTTTGCTCACTTGAGCTTTTCTTTTTATTTTCCTAAGATACTTAATAATCAACTTAAACCCTAAAAAACTTTTAATGGTACTTAGACTATTTGGTTACTATCCTTGGCATTATGGAGCATGGGACTTTTTCTTGGACTTAGGATTAGAAACCTTGGCCTATCTTGGAGACCTTGTGATCTTATATGATTATTTTGTCTGGAGCTCTTGAGGTTTACCTCAAGACATTGGGTTGCTTGTTTGTTTTTGTGTGCAGGTTTTTGTGATTACATCCTTTGTTTGTAATCTGGAATTCACCCGTATACAGTCGTTACTCTGCCCAATTTTTGTGAAGACTTAATACACTTGAAGAGGTCTAGTATCTTTGCTTGCTTGGTTCCGATCCAAAGAATGGGAATTCTATCTTGGCTCATAATGTTAAGTTTTGGCTTCTAGTTGGTTAGATGGTCCTTATCCTTAGCTTTTACTTTATGCTTTAGGATAGTCTCTTCTTCTTCTCCGATCTTCTTTAATTTCAAAAATATTCTCCCTCCTTTTTAAACTCTTCTTGTTTCTAAACATGCAACACTTTCATAATAAACTTGGACTTATGTCCATGCATTTTCAAAATCTTTTCATAAATAAACTCCAATCAATTTAATAATACCTTGACATTTTTTGTGAGAAGACTAAAAGTCAATTAATCTCATTTCAAACCATTTTGCCACTTTGGCTTTTATCTTTAAAACTTTTCTCAAAAGATTAGACTCTTGTCAATCCTTGTAGTGATGCAAGCAACTATACTTCTACAATATGTAGTGAAGTGAGATATTTTCCACTTGGGTGTTGAGTGATGCATTATTGATTTTAAAATCCAAGCCATTATCCTCCATTTTGAGATGATGGAAATTCTCCTTTCTCATGATTGTGGGTAGTAAGTATGTTTTCCACACGGACAATGACGATGATGTCTTATCTCTTAAAATCAACCAATACACTTGTGTTTCAAACTTTTAAAAGAGAAACTACGTGTACCCTGATCCCCTATTGCATGAAAGGTGGTACGTAGGCACTAAAGGTTCGCAACCGCGGCGGGTGAAAAAATCATAAAAAATATATTTCTTTTCTCACCTCCACCATCCATTTTATATACAACACATTTTATATAGCCAAAATATACAGATTTTTCAAAGAGGTTCCTGCGGAGTACCGTAGATGTTTAGGGTGCTAATACCTTCCCTTTGCAATACCAACCCCCTTACCTTGAATCTTTCCCCCTTTTTTTTGGGTTATTCGCTCTTTTCCCATTCCTTTGGAAACAATAAAGCACGGTGACGATTTTTATTTTTGATTTGTATAAAGTCTAGTCAATCCAATGGCTTAGTCTTGAACATTTCTATCGCTACACCAAAGTCAGCTGGATTTTCGGTTCAACCACATCTCAGTTCAAAGAAAAAATCGATAAATTAAATCATAGCTCAACTAATTCTATAACTAACTCAAATACAGAACAAAAATGAGAACTAGCCCAATCCTCACCCTCCATTTGTCTAACCGATTCAATTCAATCCCAGGGCTTAGATTTATTCAAGCCTAACAAACTCTAACAGAATATAGATACAGAAAATATCACCTTTCACGATTGAGGCTTGATCTCACAGGAGAATCACCAACAAACTCTATAATCTCTCTCTAAATCTTTGCTCCCATTTTTCAATCTTCATCGTTCTTCAACATTTTCTCTGCACTATCATTCTCTCTCTCTCTACACTCTCTCTGCATCAATCATCATTGAAACTTAACATTTGGATCATCTTCGTCGTGTCACCTTCAGTGTCCTCTCTCCATTCACATCAACTGCAACAACAGTCAGTGTAGTAGCAACATCCTCACCATCTTTATTTTTCATCTGCAAGAAGAATAACGCATCAACAACGAATCTTGAAGAACGCAAAAGAATATGGAATTGCGGAAGAATGACGACATTGTTATTTGATTCCGATAGGGGAAGAAGTTCTTGAATCCGCCGCAGACCGTCGAAAGAGCGGGATAAAGCTTCAACCGCGACGACGTCGCTGATGCTGTTATCATGAACGAATGAGACGAACAAGGTTGAGAATGGCAAGAACGTGCTCTACGGCGGCGTAGTATTGATTTTCGCCAGAGGAGTCGAAGACCAAACTATTACTTGAAGATCTTTTAGTTGTCTACTTCTAATCTCTATCACTGAAGATGCACCAGATGTTCTCCGGACGTGAGACAATGACTGTGGTGTCGGAGAAGGAAACAAGATCAAAGACAGAGGCGAGCGGCGCTTCATCAGATAACAAGCGAGATCTCAGACGGCTTAGGATGTGGATTAACGATTGATATGAGCAGGACGGTGCCGGGTCATCGGAGAAGAAGGTGGAGAAGGCTTATGCGCCGCCTAGTGATTGAGAGAAGAAGAGTTCGTGGGATTTCAATGGAATCATATCAATTCCCCTTAGACCGGATCATCATCAGCCTTAAGCCCATTGGCATTTTTTTTATACTTGTGGATTATGCACAAAAAAAAGGGCTTGGACTGTGCACTGGTGGGCTCAGTGCCCCATCTCTATTCACACCACTGCTTAATCCAGAACACCTCCCAAATTTCTCTAATTTCTTTACTTTGTTCTTTAAATTTCGCAATTAATTTCGTGAATTTCTTGCATGATTTTTTTGTTTAATTTTTGTATGAATATTAACATGCTAATTTATGATTAGATGTTACTTTTTTCTTGATATTTTCTATTACTTTTAGGATTAATTAAATTAATGTTTGGTACATTATTATAATTAGGATTTTAACGCGTTCTTGCCGATTCCATATCTTTGATTCAATTTTATTGGCAAGATGAGTAGTTTAACGGTAGGTTTTGATCCCTGAACGATGCCTTGTTATTTTTGACGCGTTTGTTCATTGTGTAAGGTGCACTTTGGTGCTTTCGATTGTGTAACATAACAATTGTTATGTGATTGAAGCATACAGTTTATGCTCGCTTCCGATGCGACACTCCTTATTTCTCATTTTCATGAGAATTTCACATCATATTATATGTTGTCCGAATGCATGTGATATTTTGTGATACTTTGTGCAGGAACTTCTGATTACATGTTGCATTCGCAACACGTGTGTGTTTTTATCTTAGTTGGATATCGTTTCTGACTTTGTTTATTTCTTCGTGAATCTTGCTCGATGTGTGCTCCTTATTCTCCATTGCTTTCATTCGCTTTCGATGATCCTCTTGCTTTTGGTTTTGATGCCAATTTTGTGTAATATTGTGGAATAAAAAGAGACTTAGATTTAAGAAGTTTCGAAGAAAGTTAAGATTGCAATCCCCATTGAGAAAGATTTAAGGAGGCATTTGCTCGTGCGAAGTATTTCGGGGTTCTTTACTTTGGTTGCGCTTTTTGCGGACATCATTGTTCGTTTGGTATTATACTGCTTCCAAGTTATATTTTCGTGTTTATCACTTTTCTTGATATCATGAGCAGTAGGAAATAAAGAGCGTGCACTCGAAGTCGCTGTTTAAAGACCTGTAGCAGGCATTCCGCACTCCATTTCTTATATGTGTTATGCTTGTGTTTGTTTCCTCTCTTGTCGATCGATGAGTCACTCAATTTAGAAATTGAGATCACGACTTCGCTCTCAGTGCATGCTCCCTGTAGGATTTTATCGCTTTCCTTTATTTCTTTTTGATCGATGAGTCACTCGATTTATAAATTGAGATCACGACTTCGCTCTCAGTGCATGTTCCCTATAGGATAGTTTGTTAGACTTTCTATGGCATGCTAACTTAGGTATGATCCCTCATTATATGATAACATTAGGTTAGAGATAGGTTAATCTCCCTTAGATGTTTTCTTCCCATTTTTGCATAATTGCATTTAAAACTAAAACTTCTTTTTTCTTGGAAAATGTATAAAGAATGCTAAGCATACAAAAATACTTTTCATAATAAAAAATACCGACCAATCCATTTCTTTTCGCCATTCGGCCTTTTCTCTACTGGGAGCATGTTAGCTCCTTTCCACTATAGGTCGTAAGTCTCCAAAGGTCGAGCAACGGTGGAATGATCTAATGCAACATTGTTCATTTAAAAAATACAAACAAACAAAACATATGAGCCAAACTACGATAGTTCTGATTCCTTAAAAGGATACGTAGGCATTGGGGTAGGGCCCAAGCGAGTATAACTTTATTTTCCATACATTCTTTCTCTTTTCTTTGCATGCATTCTCTCTTAGTTTGTAACCCTTAAGCATTAGATTTAACACACCCTTTGATTAGAACAACGAGAGTGGATCCCGTAGAGTACTATGGACGTGTGGGGTGCTAATACCTTCCCCTCGCGTAATCGACTCCCTTACCCAATCTCTCGGTCGCAAGACCTTGATTTCCCCTTTAGGTTTTCTTCGATGATTTTCCTTTCCATTTCATATGGGATAAATAAATACTCGGTGGTGACTTCATTGATTTTACCGCTACAGAAAAATGGCGACTTCACTGGGGAATACATGTCTACCAATTGCTGGTCCATCCAGTGAGTCACTCCTAGCTCCCGTTTTTCTTTTCTTAGGGTGTTTATCATTATGCTTTTATAGATTATTCATTTGTATATGTTTGCATTGCATCTTTATTATTATTTGTTATATTGTTGTTGTGCTGGTTTCTCTGTTTCTTTGTTGGGTGGGTGTTACTATGAAATAAAAGGCCCAATACCCAGGCCAAGTGGAAATAATAGGAACACTAGGAATAGAGTGGAACATGAACGGATAGTTGACTTAGGTTTCACTATGCCTCCATGTCGTCCACGCTCAGATGAGGTACAAATGAGGGGCTATCGTTTTCACGTAGGTGATATGGCGATAGTTTTTTCAGGAGTACCCTCGATTCTGAGTTACCATTGACCTTACCATGACCTAATATTTACCCGTGAGTGGGGAGGGAATAATCTTTACAGGTACATATAGTGATTATACATGTTCTGTTGGTGACTCTGATTATATGATGACTTTGATCCTTGGTATTCTGATTTGGTCCGGACCTTTGGTCTTATTACATATGACAGTGGTTCTATTACCATTTCAGCAGTTATCCAGTACCGCAGAAGCTTTGATCCCACATGTTTGCACACATAGCATGTTAATATAATTATCAGGATACATGTTTTTGTTTCCAAACATTACTTCCTTGATTCTAATTGTTAAGACGAAAAATAAACAAAAATAATAATATATAATAAATACATGAAAATATATATAATAACATTGTGGCTTAATAACTTGAATCAAAGCGTATGAACTTTTGGAAATAAGAATATGGCATTTGTATTGCATGTCATGCATCATGTTACGTTTGGCTATGCATTTCATGAGTTCCACAGAAGTCTTACCCAAGGTCCTTTGGTCGTTTGAAGCAAGTTGCCTCATCAGTACAACACTCGTGCTAAGGGAAGATGGAAAGCATTAAGCAAGATATTTTTGGACTCCGCAAAGAGATAACTACTTTGAAAGCTGATATGGAATATCTAACTGCTTTGGTTAAAACTTTGGTTTCCGCCCAAGTCAATCCTTCTAGGAAGGAAGAAGAGATGGCAAAAGTCTTCACAAAAACTCTGAAATCATTCTTTCATGAGAAGGTGATAGTCAACATACCCGGTGAATTCCCAAAAAAGGTGAATGTGAGAGTACTTCTAGAAGAGGATGTCCGAAAGGAATGTTTATCTGAAGACAGTGGCACAATTAGTGGTGTGAAAAAGTTTGATAATGATTGTTCTAAGAAGAGAACCAAAATAAGAAACAATCAACATCATAATCATCATGTTCCTTCTGTCAACCCTGTGTTCAATTTACCTCTTGTCGCTCCAGTTTGGCAATAGAATCATCAATTTCCTGGTCAGAAGAAAGCTCAGTTTGATCCAATTCTAATGACTTATACAGAGTTATTTCCTATCCTAATTCAGAGGAATTTGGTTCAGACCCGATCTCCACCGAAGATTCCTGAGAAAATACCTTGGTACTACAAAGCTGATTTGATCTGTGCTTTTCATCAGGGAACCCCTGGACATAGTATTGAACAATGTTATCCATTAAAAGCTTAAGTCCAGAAATTGGTCAGAAGTGGCGTTTTGTCACTTAAAGATATTTGTCTCGAAAATCAAGCCAAGTCTTTGCCGAAGAATAAACGTGATTGAAGAATGCCCTGAAATTTTACTGATTTCTCATTTGTAATTCTTCTTGTTAATCATCACATTGTTTGCATGTAAGAACTTGTTTACATTTGAATGATTATCTTAATACAATGAATATGTTTGTCTTGAAGAAATCCATTCGTTTCACTCGTATTTATTTTTAATTTTAAATTGGTTTTTTGCATTATGACACCAAATTGTTATCCATTCTTTTGCCTAGGCATGGTTTGGGGAGAGGATGATGAATTTAAAATGCAAAATTTCTGGTTGTATGCTTTTGAATAAAACTATGTTGACGATATACAGGCATTGTTTCAAATTACCAAACACCGAAAATATAAGGGAGTGAAACCCTCGTTAACCCATTTGAGCCTTGAAGCAGGAGTTTCTTTTCTATTTTAGAAAAAACCCTCATTTTTAACCTGGGGAAGGATAGTGTTCAGTTAATTTGATTGAGCGTTCGGAACTCATCAGCAATGTGCATTTAAGGATACAACAATGGTTATCCTTCAAAAGGTTGAGGAGACTCAAAATTTAAATGGTTAACCTTCGCTTATCAAGAGTGGGCGTCAATTGACAATACCCCAATGAGTATCTCTCGCACCTCAGAAAGTCAGTAGACAATGATACAACAATGGTTATCCCTCATCTTCCAAGAAATAGGGCAGTCACAATTCTTCCAACAAGTCGGAAATGACTCAACCTCACGCGACATGGTCAAAAGGAAAGAAAAGGTAATATAAAAATAAATGAAAAACGAAATGAATAAGAAGTGATTAACGAAAAATACAAAAATTCACGCTAAGTCGAAACTTGAAAAAAAAGCTCGCTTAGGCAAAAGTCAGGGCATCCCGCTGGGCTTCATAGTCAAATTCAAAAAGAATTTGTCCAGGCAAAAGTTAGGGAAAATGATGGAAAGCCTGAAAGACAAAAAAGGATTACAAAATGGATATCCTTAGCAAAGAAATATGTTGCGTGATTAGACAATAAAAGTAAGAAATAAGTGATTGTCATATCCAAAGAAAACCTTGGTTGGTTCCTCAACCGTCTCAAAATTTCTTTTGAGAGATGAATGTTTAGGTCGAGTTAACTGAACTTAGGA